TTTAAGGGCCCATGTGATTGTATTGGGCCTACCTGGATAACCTTAAGTCCGTCCACAAAGCCTCTTTTGTCAAGTAATGTAACAGGCTCCAGGGATTAGGCTATAGAAAGCTTTGATGGGGTGACCATTACTCTGCCTACCACATGCTGCATCCCTGAAAAAAAAGTAGGTTGTTCTCATTAGTGTAATGACCTTAACTTTTAAAGCCATCTTTTAATATTATGTAAGAATGGAATGAAACAGACATCATCATGCATTCATTCTAGAAAAATTATTTCAAAAACAGGACTGTTCACTATTCCTCAGTTCTTTGATCAGCTTTCTTTTTCTTCATTACATTTGTCAGTCAATATGTATTTGTCTGTCGCCCCTTCCCCCTCCCCCTGCCACCCCCCTCCCCGCTGCCACCTTCACCTTTTAGAAAGAGTGCTTGAGGGGGAGGTGCTACTTGAGGGGCAGGTGCTAAGTTATATTCCTCTTTGTGTTTCCAGCACCCACCATGGTGCCTGGCACATAGTAGATGCTTAATGAATGCAGAAGAAATAGACACTCATTGTCACATGCTCAAAAAATGGTAATACGCAGGTTGGTGGTGTTTTCTTGAAGGGGCTTCTCCATTAGTAATGGCAGTAAAAAGATGAAAATTCCTTGAAGAGGCTTCTCTATTAATAATGGCAGTAAAAAGCCACATAAGATAGCCAAATGATGTTAATGACTAGGCTTTTTTTTTCCCCCAAACAAATATGTGCTTGAAATTACATATCCAGTCTTTGGAAATGAACTTAATTAGTAGTATGAGCTCTAACTACATGCCAGATTCTGTGTTAAATATTTCACAAATATTTAATCATCACAAAAAAAGTCACATGGCAAATAATAATGAGTCAGTATTTGTTGAGTGCTTGCCATGTATCAGACACCATCCTAAGTTCTTTAAATGAAAAATCTTTTACACTTCTAAAATAAAAACCTCTTTTTTCTCTACATTCACACTTGTAATGCCAAATATGTGTGGTCTTTTTCTATACCAGCCAATTCTCCAATGTTCAGTGAAAACCAACTGGACCTCCTACAGTTTAACTCACTAACTACCTGGAGTTAGCATCAGATCCCACAAGTTAAGGACTCAGTCCCACAAGACTGTCCCCACTTCAGACACTAGTTGCAAGTCCCAGGTCGTGACCTGTACTTCAGACTGACTGGCTCTATGTTGGGGGTTCCCGCCCGCTCCTCAGGTTTGATAATTTGCTAGCATGACTCACAGAACACAGAACTTTGACCATTACCAGTTTGTTATAAAGGATGCAATTCAGGAACAGCCTAATGGAAGAGATGCATAGGGCAAAGGATGGGGATGGGAGTGTGTGGCGCCAACTTGGAAGCCCTCCAAATTGTGTCATTTAGGGCTTTATGAAGGTTCCATTAAATAGGCATGGCTGATTAATTCAGTAGCCATTGGTAATTAACTAAACCCCCAGTCCTCCCCTCCCAGGAGGTTGGAGATAGGGCTAAAAGTTCCAATCCTCTAATTACATGGTTGGTTTCTCTGGCAACCAGTGTCCATTCAAGAGTCACCTTATTAGCATAAATTCAAGTATGCTTTAAAGGAGCTTATTATTAATGAAAAACACATTCCAGCCAGGTGTGGTGGCTCACGCCTATAATGCCAACCCTTTGGGAGGCTGAGGCAGGCCGATCATGAGGTCAGGAGATTGAGACCATCCTGGCCAACATGGTGAAACCCTGTCTCTACTAAAATGCAATAATTAGCTGGGCATGGTGGCATGCATCTGTAGTCCCATCTACTCAGGAGGCTGAGGCAGGAGAATTGCTTGAACCTGAGAGGTGTAGGTTGCAGTGAGCCAAGATCATGCCACTGCACTCCAGCCTGGTGACAGAGCAAGACTCCATCTCAGGGGTGGGGGGCAGGGGGGACATGTTCCTCTTGCCTTATGTACTCAGGAAATTCCAAGGGTTTTAGGAGTTTTGTGTCAGGCAAAAACCAGATATATTTCTTGTTCTATCACAACATCATAGCCTCATAATGCCCCTAGAGGTAGGTAATCATTAATATTTCCATTTTACAGATAAGGATACTGAAGCACAGAATGGTTAGGTAACTTACCTAGAGTCACACAGCAAGGCAATGGCAGTGGCACAGTCAGGACCCAGATAGTCTCCTGAGAGAGCCTGTGATATCCACACCTATACCTCTTAGAGTGCTGCGTTGCTTTTGAAACATTTCTCAGAGAAGCCATACTTATGCACAGGCTTGAAAGATGAATAGAGATCAGCCAGGTAGGTATTCTGGGTGGGAGAAGGTGACAAGAAAAAAGGATGTTCCAGGCTCTAGAAGTTGCCTGAGCTAAAGACATGAAGTGTGAACCCAGGTTTTGAGGAGGGGCGAGTTGAGGGAGCAAGTCTACGCTTTTTCTGTGGGCAGCACAGGAATGGAAAATCCAAGAGTCGCCAAGTGCAGCCAGGAAGGAGGCTCTGCCTGTTCCCACGGTGACCCTTGCTCAGCCCTGTGCTGTTCAGAGCCCACAGGAAGGGCTCTCTTGGCTCCTCTGTGATAGCAGCCCCAATCATGTCATGAAGCAGTTGTTGCCTGTATTCCGGGTCAGCTTAAAAAAATTAGTTCTGTCACACAGAACTGCCGTGATTTCCCCAAAGCCACCATGTGTGGATTTATCTAAGTTCTTCCTGTACCTAATCATGCTTCTGGCACCAACTCTTGGAATAAGAAGTTGTTTAACACCCTTTTCACAAAGTGACATTTTTGATTTGTCCTGAATTTACCCCTTATGGCCTCTAAGGGTTGTCCCTTAGTTTCTTACATTTCGGGATTTGCTGTGGAGTCTGAGGTCACTTGATCTTATTTGTGGATTGCAGGCATATCTTTCCGTAGCCTGAGAAGACCTTTTGTTACGTTGCTGTCAAACAGAAGCCATTCCCTTGCTTTACTCATTTTAATTGTCTCTTTTAGGATTTATGTAAGTCTCTTGTAACTTTCATTTTTTTAATTTAACTTTTAAGTTCTGGGGTTCTTGTAGCTTTCTTGAGATGGCAAGAAATTAAGTAGTCCAATGATAATAAATGCTATGTGGTTTTGCAGAGGTTAAGATGACAGAATAGGGTTCATTGTTTTCATCATTGATTTAAGGGAAGAAGCGGAAGAAACTGACTTTGGGGGACTTGTTTTGTGCCTAATGGTTTATAGTGTCCTTCCTGATGATATTTATCATTGTGCTGGCTTTTTCTTTAGTAAAATTCTACAGGCACTTAGAACTGAGAGCTTAAAGACTATTACTTTATAAAGAACCATTTAATTGTTTCCATTATATACTTGCCTATCAAAAAATCATCTGCCACTTTTCTACTCAGTCATGTGGTATTTTGGAATCTTCCTAAAGTTTCATTGGGTTAGCAATCAGTCACCCTGCAAACGGAGGCATTTCTGTGCTCTCTCTCTTCCACATGATTTATAAAAATGTAAAATCAAATTGGTCTCTGGGGTCTCTCCTTGTTTATATTTCCTCATCCACAGAAGGCCCCATTTAACTGAGCCATTTCCATATCAGTCACTAAACATTCCTGAAATACCAAGGGGATTCAATTTTTAAAAACAATCTTTGCTGTTGGAAACTTTAGGAATGTATTAATAAATAGTGCTCGCTAATTTCTCTCCTTCTTGTCCATGTGATTCTCAAAGATCTCTGATTAATTCCGGTGTTGCCATTGCAGGTAGAATTTACACTCACTATGATTTAAAACTACTTGTAATTTTGGTTCAAGTTGATTTGGTGATTGTCAATTGTCCCTCACTTGCAGAGTGGCCTCTCCCTGTAATATTAAAGAGAATGATGATAAAAATGGCTTCACAAGCAGTCTGCTTGCAGAGCCCCAGTCGTGCCGTCAAATTGCTGCAGTCAGTCTGAGTTTTTTTTTTTTTTTTGAGAGGGAGTTTCACTCTTGTTACCCAGGCTGGAGTGCAATGGCGCGATCTCGGCTCACCACAACCTCCGCCTCCTGGGTTCAGGAGATTCTCCTGCCTCAGCGTCCTGAGTAGCTGGGACTACAGGCACGTGCCACCATGCCCAGCTAATTTTTTGTACTTTTAGTAGAGATGGGGTTTCACCATGTTGACCAGTATGGTCTCGATATCTTGACCTTGTGATCCACCCGCCTCGGCCTCCCAAAGTGCTGGGATTACAGGCTTGAACCACCGCGCCCGGCCCCCCAGTCTGAGTTTTATATTAACTATGCTGCTTCTGATATTTGCACAGAACAGATTTTCTAAACCTTAAATGAATGTTTGATTTTGCAGGTTATTTTGAAAATTACATGATGGGGATGTCTGAATTGGAAGGACATGAGAGTAGCAAGTTCCTTGCTACTTGAGGGTAGATAAAATTACAGAATTGTTAGTTCGAGCTCCTGTTTCTCCTTGTCACTGATCCCACCTTCCTAAAGCTGGTGGGGAAACAAGTTACCTTACCACCTGGAGCACAGTGTAGGTGCCTGGGTAAGGAGCACAGAGAAGCCTTAACTAGTTTGTCAGGATACTCAACAAAATGTGGTTTCCACAGGCCTACTTTGGGGATGGGGGTTGGAAAGCTACTTTTACAAAAAGCTTTCAAAAATATTCTCTACAAATCAATTTTGGCCTGTTAGGATCTAGACTATTTTAGGGTAATTAATCTGCTGAAAGGCACTTCGAGGAAAATTGCAATAAAGATGCCAAAAGAAATGCTGTTCCACATTGAGTTTGATCTATCCACAGACATAACCCAGCCTTTCTACTTTGGAGACTGACTTTTCTGCCTTTTGAGTTTATTTAATTTCTGTTCAAATGCTACCTTCCAATATATCTTTGAAACTGCTGACATTGGATGCTTGACTATGAGCTCCAGGGCTATATAAGTTATTAAGAAAATTTTTTTCTTTTCTTTGAGATCTCTTTTGTACAACTAAGTATGTGCCCTCTTGTTTGTTCCTAGGATGGCCCAGATTCTGCCAGAGGAAATCGGACAAAACAGGAGAGCGCATGGATATTCAGGCTGTGGTACAGCTTTGATCACAAGTATCCTTTTAAGTAGCATCCCCTGTGTCAGTGAAACATTGGGGATGAACTCTTCGTGTTGAATTGCCAGTGAATGACATCTGATAAGTAAGGAAAGATGCATGCTTGGGACAGGGATAGTATGTCCTCTCATAGAACATGTGCATTGAGTATTCAACCATAGGTAGTCCTGGTGAGCATCTCTCTGGCCAAGAGGAATGTTTGCATATCCTTAGAGTAACCATCCCACAGCCTGGTAGACTGGTGTGGCTCTTAAGAGCTTTGTGTCCAGGGAACTATGCCTTTTTAGGTGATTAGATTAAAATTATGCAATGAATCATGCTATGGTCAGAAAAGGAAGTAGAACTTCAGCTGTAAATCCATATGGGGAGGATAATTCCTATTGGATGAACTTGGCCAACTCTGATCTCATATGATCTGATACTGGTATAACTGGGCCACATGCAGGGCAAACCCTGTTCTAGTAGATTCACTTGGTCTCAAGTGAAAATTAAAAACCAAAATGTTAAACCCTCATTGTTTTTTTTTTTTTTGAGAGGAGGTCTCACTCCATTGCCCAGGCTGTGTGGTGGTGTACTTGACTCACTGCAAGCTTCCCCTCTGGGGCTCAATCAATCTTCCCACCTCAGCCTCCCGAGTAGCTGGGACCACAGGTGCATGCCACCATGTCCAGCTAATTTTTTGTATTTTTGGTAGATATAGGGTTTTGCCATGTTGCCTAGGCTGGTCTTGAACTCCTGGGCTCAGGTGATCTTCCCGCCTCCGCCTCCCAAAGTGCTGGAATTACAGGCATGAGCCACTTCACCCAATCCCTCATGGTTTCTCAGGTTGACATAGTGATCAAATGGGCAGGTGGCGTATTATATATGGTTTTTGGAGATGCTGAAAATGTTAAAAATTTATTGAAGTATAACAGATATGCAGAAAAGTACACAAATAATAATTGCTCAGTAAATTATCACAAAATAAACACACTAACACCAAACCAATTAAGAAACAAAATGACCAAGGCTGGGCATGGTAGCTCATGCCTTTAGTCCCAGTACTTTGGGAGGCCAAGGTAGGCAGATCACTTGAGCCCAGGAGTTACAGACCAGCCTGGGCAACATGATGAAACCCTGTCTCTACAAAAAATACAAAAATTAGCCAAGTCTGGTAGCACACACTTGTAGTCCAGCTACTCAGGCCCTGTCTCAAAGAAAAGTGGGGGGGAACAAAATTGCCAACCCCCTCATGCCATGACTCAATTACTACCCCTTCCACTCCCCAAATGTAATCGCTCTGTTGACGTCTAGCAACTAATAGTTTCACCTGTTTTTCAACCTTCTATAAATAGGACTATACAGTATATATATTTTAATGTCTGGCTTATTTGGCTTGACATCATGTGTATGATACATCTATGTTGTTATATGTAGTTCTAGTTCATTTGTTCTCATTGTTCCATAGTATTTCTTATAGAAATATATCATAATTTATCATTCTATTATTGATGTACATGTCTTTTGTTGCACATATGCATACATTTTTGTTGGGAATCTACCCAGGAATAAAATTGCTGGGTCATAGGACATGGGTAGGTTCAACTTCAGAAGATAGTGCCAGTTTTCCAAAATAGTGATACTACTTTACACAGTCACTTCTAGTGTATGAGAGTTACAGTTCTTCCACATCCTCACCAACATTTGATGTTCTCAGTCTTTTTAATTTTAGCCATTCTAAAATTGGGTTTGTAGTGGTATTTAATCATGGCTTTAATTTGCATTTCTCAAGTGAGTGATAGGGTTAAGCACCTCCGCACATGTTTACTGGCCATTTGGTATGTTCCTTTATACAATGCCTTTTCAAGTCTTTTGCCCGATTTTCTGTTGTGTTGCCTGCCTTTTTCTTACTGATTTCCACGAGTTCTTTATGTATTCTAGATATGAGTCTTTTGCTGATCATATGTGATAAAAATATCTGCTACCACTTTGTAGCTTGCCTTTTCACTTTTTTGTGTGTGTGAGACAGAGTCTCACTCTGTCGCCCAGGCTGGAGTGCAGTGGTGTGATCTCAGCTCACTGCAACCTCCGCCTCCCGGGTTCAAGTGATTCTCATGCCTTAGCCTCCCGAGTAGCTGGGATTAAATGTGAGTGCCACCATGCCTGGCTAATTTTTGTATTTTTAGTAGAGATGGGGTTTTGCTATGTCAGCCAGGCTGGTCTTGAACTCCTGGCCTCAAGTGATCCACCTGCCTCAGCCTCCCAAAGTGCCCAGATTACAGGTATGAGCCACCACACCCAGCCTCACTTTTTAAGTAGAATATTTTGATGAACAAAAGGTCTTAATCCAATTTATTGATCTCCTAGTTAGTATTTTTTATGTGCTGTTTCAGAAATCTTTGCCTACCTTAAGGTCATGAAGCCAATTTCCTATGTTATCTTCTAGAAGCTTTACTGTTGGTCTTCTGCGCATCTGTTTTTTTACTGAGGAACAAGCATGGGCAATTTTTTCTCTAGAAAAAAATCTAGAGATAATTTGAGATGCTCTGTATAACATCATCATCCTTCAGAGATGATTTAAGCTTATATCTATCAGGTCAGTGCTAGGCTGGGGTATTAGCAATTGCAGATCACCTTAATCCAATCAGGAATAAGGATGATTTGATGTTGGCCATTAGGTCCTGTGAGAGTTAGTCTGTTTTCTCTTTACCCTTTATTCCAGGATCCCCACCTAAAGCCTGGTTTCCATCTTCTTCCTCGGTAGGCCCTGGACTCTGGTTTTTGTCAGGTTCACTCTGTCTTTGTGATTCTGCCAAATGCTCTGCTCAGTTTCTCAGGTGCGTTTAGGGAAACCGTGGCTCACCAACCACAGCACTCACCATTTGGCAATTTTTTTGAAGACATTTTTCATTGTCACAACTTGGAGAGGGGAGTAATGGTGCTACTGGCATCTGCAGACAGTCCCCAACTTAAGATGCTTCAATGTTAACAATACGGTATGGAAGTGACCTGCATTCAGTAGAAACCGTACTTGAGTACCCATTCAACCATCTTGTTTTTCATTTTCAGTACAGTATGCAGTAAATTCCATGAGCTATTCAATATTTTATTATAAAATAGGCTTTGTGTTAGATGATTTTTCCCAACTGTAGGTTAATGTTAGTGTTCAGAGCTCATTTAATGTAGCCTGGGCTAAACTGTGATGTTTGGTAGCTTAGGTGTGTCAAATGTGTTTTTGGTTTATGATATTTTCAACCTAATGGGCTTATTAGGATGTAATTGCATCATAAGTCGAGGAGGCATCTGTAATGTGTAGAGACCAGGGGTGCTGCTCAACATCCTACCATACACAGAACAGCCCCCAACAACAAAAAACGATCTGGCCCCAAATGTCAATAGTGTTGAGGTTGGAAAGCATTGTGTTAGCGTCCAGGAGAGAAGCTGTAGGTAGAGTGAAGAATGGTCCTTTTTGGGAAGTTTAGAGATTTACAGTCCAAGTATTCTTACTGAAATCATTTCATGTTGCCAAGTCTCAGTTTCTGCCTTTGTAGTAGCCCCAGGCTACCCCTAAGGTCATGTCCAACTTCAACATTTCCACCACCTGCCCTCTGGGTAGAGTGGTTTAACGGAAATACATGCAGAGAACGAGAGCAGAGGGGACCCAGGGGTTGCTACTCCCCACTCCAGGGACACTCTCTCCTGTTTCCAAGGCCTGGAGCCAGTTGTGTGTCAGAGGCTGAAATGCTGATTGAAACCAAAACTTCCATTCAACATGACAAAGGGAGAAGGGAGAGCTAATTTGTGATGAATCAAATATACTTTTTAACTGAAAATTGGGAGTTACCAACCTGAGACTTAACAGTTACTATTTAAGGCTGATAGGGCATATCTTACTCTTTGGTTCAAACTGTTGCATGTTACATGTATTTCGTGTGTTGTACTAGTAAAATGAGGGAAATAAGCTCTCTGTGGGTAGAAGGTTGGGTGAATTTTAAGCACATTTTGTTGTGTATATGTTTTCTTTGCAGCCATTTTTCCTTAATTCCCATTTTAAAGTTACCTGAAGCCCATCCTCACACACAGCGGCCCCCCTCTAACCACCACTCTCCCTGCCTGGTGTGGCTTGCTAGCTCGATGTCTGACCAGTCCCCAGGTGTATGATGTAAGTACTGTACATCAGGGTTGTAGTCCTCGTCACCATGCCAGGGCAGTGTCTTACACAGGAAAAAGAAACCATCATACTCATGCCTCCACACCCACAGATTTTTGCTTCTCTAATAAGCTGATTAGAAATGGCCAACTTAACATATGTTTGTAGATTTTGCACAGTAACAGACAAACCCTTTACCAGGGTAATGGGATTCCCCAACATCAGCAGCTGTGGTTTAATAGAAAGAACACTGGATTTCGAATCAGAGCCACTGGATTGGAATCTAATCCCTGACAGGACATAGACATGCTCTGTATCTCAGTTTTCTAATCTATAAAATGGGACCAGTACTACAGGTTGGCTGTGAGCATGAAATGATGAAATACATGAAGATATACTGTGAACCACAAAGCGTGTAAGGATTCCTTTTCTAAATAGTTTATTTATGTTGATATGGTTAGGTCCTTTCTTTCCATTTTCAGATTCTGGAAATAGACTCAGCCCGATATGAAAAGAACATGCACAATGGTGGATGTCTTAAATTTAGGGCTGACTCCTGAGCTCCTGATGTGGGTTGCAGGGTGCAGGGCAGACAGGTAGAGAGAGCAAAGTAGCTACCCACGAGGAAGGAGCGGAGGAGAGGTCAAAGGCCTTTCTTCATCATCCCTCCTAGGCCATCCCAATCATCTTGTCATTAACACAGTCTTATGCCCTAGAAGAAAAGAATGTCTAAAATTTGCATACAGCTCTACAGTTCACAAAGGCTAATTTCATTCTTTTAGTCATACCTTGAATCAGTGAGTACTGTAGCATCACAGAGAAGGGAAGTGCATCTCAGAGAGGATGTGAGTTGGCCCAGGCCCACGGTTAGTAATTAGCTGGGAACCTCATGCAGGTCTTCACATTCTTAGCAAATAGCTTGCAGTTTACTTGATTGGTGATGAGAAGGCAGAACACAAAGCCTAAATATGAAAGAGAGGCCGTAAACAGGTAAGTTCTAATGAGTGGTAGCAGGGTTAAGACAGGTGGTGCACATTCATGTGGTACAGAGGGGAAAGGGATGTGGACACTCGATAGCTAGGTGGGGGCGCTGGGGCAGAAGGGAAGGGCAGCCACATCAAAGCACCGGAAATTGGAGGAGGCAGCTCCTTAAATGACATACTCTTCCTTCGAGAACAGGGATGACAACTGCCAAGTCACCATGTGTCCTAAACCCACCGCTGCAGAGAATAAGCTGTGTGTCTGTCATCCCTAGGCCCTCAGACCCCTCCTTGGCCCCCTCAGAGGAAGGTGACCATTGAAAAGTCCTGGTAGGCAGTGACAGAACTTTACACTTGAAAACTCAGCTGGGCTACTGGGTTTTGCCCCCTTGGAAGCAGGTTCTGCCTGGTAAAAATGTAGTTCTGGCGCAGCCTTTGCTTTGAAATTTCACCAAATGTGACAGCACCATTCACGTTTCCTTCTCTTAATGATAGTTAAACCTTCTGGCTCCCACAGCTCCTCCCCATTTGAAAATGAAATTCCTGTGCCACCTGTGATAAACTGGTATTAAATGGCAAAAAGAAGTACGTAGGATGGTGAGCACACCATTTCCCTAGAACTGCTCCATTTGTAAAATGATGTCTAATGCTTGTGGTAAGTTTTAAATGCAATATCTATCAGCCTAAATAATAATGCTAGTTACCTATGAGGTTAGAAGGGCACAAACCAAAAGATTAAAAACATGTTTTGTAATTTCTCATCCTGCTGCTAGCTTACTTGAGAATAGCGGCCTTGTGCTGAGTGCTCTACGGTTTGCTCAGTTTGGCCCTCCGTCTGAAGTGGGATAGTGGCCCTTTAGGTACATCACTGGAGACAAAGGCTGCCGACGGCATCTCTGCTTTCCCACTAATGAAGCCCCAACTGTGATTACACTTTCTGATCTTAAGTTTCACTGGGTTTATATGTATAAATTTGTCTTCTAACTCTAGCCTCTTCTAAACACTTTGTAAAACTTTCCATCTTAATTGGGTTTTAATAAGGATCACTTTTCATGTCTATGTAATAGTAAAACAACAAATTCACTGTTAAAACTTTATAAAAACCTTCTCTAATCTGAAGCTTACTGACCAGTCCCTTGCCCATAGATTAGGAATATCTAGACTAGTTTGAACTCGGCGTAAACTCAGTAAGCTTACAATTGCATAAATTTCAAGTGCTTCCCCCAGCAGTTCAAGGGACTGCTCCAAGTTTGCTTCCGGGATCATGTTTTGGCTGTGACTCCCCACAGCCAACCTAAGATGGAGTAACTTGGGCTTCCAGCAAGGATCACTCTCAGTCCTGTTGCTGCTGCTGCTGCTGCTTTGAGCCCAGGTCCTGCCTAGGGTCTCAGCCAGCTCCAGACATGGTGGGGCCTGCTGCTGAGACAGTGGGAGCAAAGGGTCTCTTCAAAATTATCAGTGGAGGGACCCAAAATTGACAGAGGTGAAGGGGCTCACTGCAAAGTTTATTGCCAGGCGAGGGTCTCTGACTGGGCAGTTCTTGTGGCTTTTGACAACTGTTGTGTGGTTCTCACCCACCATCTAAAAGGTGTTTTGTACTTTGCCAAATTTATTCGGAGATTTCTTTTTTTTTTGAGATGGAGTTTCACTCTGTCGCCTAGGCTGGTGCAGTGGCGCGATCTCAGCTCACTGCAACCTCTGCCTTCTGGTTTCAAGCAATTCTCCTGCCTCAGCCTCCTGAGTAGCTGAGATTACAGGCGCCCACCACCACGCCTGGCTAATTTTTGTATTTTTAGTTGAGACAAGGTTTCACCATGTTGGCCAGGCTGGTCTCAAACTCCTGACCTTGTGATCTGTCTGCCTCAGCCTCCTAAAGCGCTGGGATTACAGGCGTGAGCCACTGCGCCCGGCCAATTTGGAGATTTCTAAGATGTTCATCCGTTATTATGTCCACTAACATTAAACCACTTAGGTTTGGTATTCACCTTCCTAACAATGTGCTTTCACTTTTGAAAATGACTTCTCATTATTTAAAATGCACACACTGCCACACTGTTGTTTGCAGGTGTTTTCACAGCATTTTCATAGCAGACTTAACTGCACAACTAGTTATATGATTATACAGACCTTCAGCGTAACAAACTTGTGTTGATCTTATCATCTGGAATTCAAGGGAGCAGATTGAGTTCATCATCTGCATATAACATTATTAGGCTTTGATGTCAGAATCACTCTCCATGGGCTGTTTTTCTTTTTGTTTGTTTTTGAGACAGTCTTGCTCTGTCACCCAGGCTGGAGTGCAATGGTGTCATCTTGGCTCACTGCAACCTCTGCCTCCTGGGTTCAAGCAATTCTCATGTGTCAGCCTCCCAAGTAGCTGGGATTACAGGCCATGCCACTACACCCGGCAATTTTCATATTTTTTGTAGAGATCGGTTTTCACCATGTTGAGTGGGCTGTTCTCAAAACTCCTGACCTCAAGTGATCCACCTACCTTAGCCTCCCAAAGTGCTGGGATTACAGATGTGAATAACCACACCTGGCCTCTCCATGGGTTTTACTATGGCCCTGTTTCTGAATGACCTTTCCTTGGGTACTAGGTCTGGGCTTGGGAGCTTCGTACATGGAACAGGTTGATGTCCAGTCTTGTTTTCTCCTATCAGTGAATTTAGGCCCTGCTTCCCTCTGCAGAGTGAAAGCTGACCATGTCACAGTTCATGCCCAGGGTTTCCTCTGTGGTGCTGTGGTGAGCTTTCCTTCATTTGCAGAATTACCCTTACCTGCAGTTATTCTATGTTTGCCTCTGTCCTTCCATGGCCGCAAACCTTGAAGCAGTAAAATATGTGCCAGGACCATTTCCCTGAGAATTAGGAGCCAAGAGCCCTGATAGAGAGATCTTGACAGAGATGAACAAAAACATTATATAGCACATGTATGAATGGGAGAACTGGGATATGCCGAGACAGGGAAGGTGGATTCCCTGGGAATTGGAAGTTCGGATAAGGGACATGATGTCATTTGCTGTTAAGAAAGCTACTGGCTGGGCACAATGCCTCACGCCTGTAATCCCAGTACTTTGCAGGGTTGAGGTGACCGGATCACCTGAGGTCAGGAGTTTGAGACTAGCCTGGCCAACATGATGAAACCCCATCTCTACTAAAAATACAAACACTAGCCAGGCATGGTGGCAGGCACCTGTAATCCCAGCTACTCAAGAGGCTGAGACAAGAGAATTATTTGAACCTGGGAGGGAGAGGCTGCAGTGAACCGAGATTTTGCCATTGTACTGCAGCCTGGGTGACAAGAGTGAAACTCCGTCTCAAAAGAAAAAAAAAACGCTACAGTAGATCAGATTGAGTTTCATGACTTTCTAAACACTGGTAAAGAGGAGGAAATTGGCCCGGCACAGTGGCTCACACCTGTAATCCCAACACTTTGGGAGGCTGAGGCGGATGGATCACGAGGTCAGGAGATCAAGACCATCCTGGCCAACATGGTGAAACCCCGTCTGTACTAAAAATACAAAAATTGGCCAGGCATGGTGGTGGGTGCCTGTAATCCCAGCTACTTGGGAAGCTGATGCAGGAGAATCACTTGAACCTGGGAGGTGGAGGTTGTAGTGAGCTGAGATCGTGCCATTGCACTCTAGCCTGGCGACAGAGGCGAGATTCTGTTTTAAAAAAAGGAAATCTGGGAGTTAAGAGCAAGTTTTAGAACTGTGCTCTAAACATCTGCCTGAGTACAGGATTTTAATCTCATTGGGCATTTGCACCCTGCTTCATTCCAATGGGGATTTGAGGCAGCAAGTGAGAGGAGTTGTGTGCTTGCCTGTTAAAAATGCTGAAGCATTGGTTAAGTGGAGTCACATTGTGGCCAGTGTGTGGAGAAGTTAATGTCACTGAGAATGCAGACAACAAGTATGTGATTGTCGCCAATGAGTGCAGAAATAGTCTGGGACAGGAGACTCAACCCATGAGTCTTCCCTAGCTGGTGCATTTACCCGGAATCATTCACTTAGCACCTACTGGAGGTAAGCACCATTGAGGAAGCTGCCAAGGCGTGGACAACAAGGTCACTGCCCTTTGGTGTTTGTCATCTAGATGGGGAGTCCAGACACTGACCTGGGGAAATCTACCCATGGCTTTGGGCAGTGTGACTGTGCAGAGTTCCTGAGGGGGGTCAGGGAGGCCACTTTGGTGCCTTGGAGGCTCTGACTCATAGAGGATGCAGGACTTCAGATGAGCTTTGAAGGGTCGGTGGGAAACAGGATAGAAAAAAAATCAGTTTACCCAGAGTATTCGACACTGCGTTTGCCCTTTTAGAAGGCAGTGCACAGTACTTGATAGGCCTCAATGCAGTGGGGGAGCTGGGTCGTGGCCCTCCCCTTGTTTTGCTGGTTAAACCCATTGGAGGTAGAAGGTCCTGTCTGACCTCATGCTGTCTCCGACACTCTCGCCACCATGTGATAGTTCAAGTGGTTGCAGCTTTGCTCTCCCTCGATCATTTGATTCATCCACCTGAGGATGTAGTGGGTGGGCTTCCTATGAGGGTTTTCCTGTGGGGAGATGACTGGGGAAACAGGGAGGAAATCCTAATTATGGCTTGTCCTCTTCCCTGAATTGCTGTCTATGACACAGAATAGTTCCAGTGTAAACAAGATGGGTTGGGGATGGTTTGCATAGGGCAGGAGGCCCACCCAGAAGGCCTGCCCAGAGAAGATAGTACCTGAAACCTATTTGAAATGTTTGCCCAATAACCCTACTCTGGCCTTTCTTTGTATGTTGATTAGGAAGCTGGAAATCCAGGCTGGTCCCCCTTTCTTCCCTTTGTCACTAACTCCAAGCTGTCAGACATTTGAAATCAGAACTGTTTTCGGTATTCTAAGTCCTGATCTTGGCAACCATGCCTGGCCATCTACAGTTTACATCCAGTTACCACGCTAGTGGCTCAAGGCAGGCGAGTTTCATAATCCCGAGTTTTCAGATGAGGAGTTGGGATTGGGGTTGGGGATGATGCCAACTCTGGGAGATTCCAGCCTCTCATTTTTGTTCTTGTTGGTTGCCCTTTTCAGAACCAAGAGCCACTGAGAGAGGAAGACTCCGATTTCATCCTGACTGAAGGCGACCTCACGTTGACCTACGGGGACAGCACAGTGACTGCAAATGGCTCCTCAGGTTCGCACACCGGCTCCACAAGTCTGGAGGGCAGCCGCAGAACGAAGAGCAGCTCAGAGGAAGTGCTGGAGCGAGACCTGGGAATGGGAGACCAGAAGGTTTCGAGCCGGGGCACCCGCCTAGTGTTTCCTCTGGAAGATAATGCTTGACTTTCCCCCCAAACCCTGGTGCAGTGGGGTAGGCTCCCAATGGGGTGAGGACGGCTGCAAGCCCTAGTGTTGTTTGAGGTGGGGCAGTGACTAGATAGAACTAACTCTTCTATTTTATTGGAGTCTGAAGCTAACTTAACACTTAAAATTTAACTCACGATGCAGATGGTGAGGCAAAAGTCTCTAAATTCAGACAAACATGACCTATTCCCACTTTTTTCACATAGTAGTACGCTGTTTCAGAGTTAAACAAAAAAAATAGCATGCTTTAATGGTCTCTTAATTCATTCACCTGCAGTATCTGAGCAAGGCGGGGCAGGTGCTGGGCGAAGGGCTTCCTCACATGAGAGGCTGCATCTCAGTGCACAGCAGTGCAAGTCAAGCTGACCATAGAAATATCAAGTTAGGGGAGAACAGGCTGGAAGAAGGATCGAGAAGGAAGGCAATTGAGATTGGAACTCCAAGGATTATGGGAAACTGGTGTTAAATGGGACAGAAAACATGGAAAAGCAATTTGAGTGAAGGCTCTGGCAGCGAAGGCTGCATGACTGCAACCTCATATGAGGATTCCTGACTTTTATGCTACCTGTGTTTCTTCTTGACTGAAGATTTGAAAATACATCCATGAACATTTCAACATGGAACAAGGCATTATGGTTCCTTCTCTGGCGATGTCCGTAAAGAAGTAGTTACGAAATGTTTAAAACCAAAGGCAAATAGTGTTATACTCTTATTTCTTAATTAATCTGAGGAAAGGAGGTATTTAGAAACCGATGATGGCATCACTGCAAAAGGCATCCAACTTTTGAGGGCTGCCATATGAACTGACAGCCTAGGAAGTAATCACGAGGACGGAGCTATCTACTGTGGGTTTAGAAATAACACCAAATTTTTTAGGATGCTATTACCTGGGGAAGAGAAGGCAGCAAGAAACCTACAGGGCACCAGACTAGAATTCAGAGGGAAAGAAATTTCAGTACAAAAAATTAACTGCAAAGAAATATGAGTTAGTAGTCTCAAGACTGGGTAGAATCCCAAAATTTGAGCTGACAAACGCATGAGATTTCAGTGGCCACCTGAGGAATCAGAGGGAAGTCAATGGAACATTGAGTATCTTCAACCCACTAGAGAGTTCTGTCTTCTATAAGCATAGGAATCTGGGTGTCTTGCAGAGAAGGGTCATTTTCCTTGTCTCTGGGGAGGCTGCTGCACCAGCTTAACATATGGGTGTGATTTGAAAGTTAGGTTTTCGGCCAGGCGCGGTGGCTCATGCCTGTTTAATCCCAGCACTTTGGGAGGCTGAGGTGGGCAGATCACGAGGTCAGGAGTTTCAGAACAGCCTGGCCAATATGGTGAAACCCTGTCTCTACTAAAAATACAAAAATTAGCTGGGCATGGTGGCACGTGCCTGTAGTCCCAGCTACTCTGGAAGCTGAGGCAGGAGAATCGCGTGAACCTGGGAGGCAGAGGTTGCAGCGAGCCGTGATCATGCCATTGCACTCCAGCCTGGGGGACAGAGCGAGACTCAGTCAAAAAAAAAAGAAAGAAGGAAAGTTAGGGTTTGGGTTCTTTCTGGATGAGCTGTTCTCTGCCCACACCTGTAGTGCTGAAATACTGAAAGACCTCTTGGGAAAAGTTTGAGTTTCTCCCCATGTCTCTGTGCCTGCCTCAGCACTAGCATATTTTTGGCAACACAATTTCTAAAAAATGCTTTCATAACATGGGCTTTTTTCTTATGATGGCAGACAAAAGTTTCCCAATCTGTCCATCTATAATGGAATCAGCCATTTAATCTTCTCACTTCGCATGTTTAATGTTAACGTTTAAGTAAGGCATTGCTTCCCAGCTTTGTGTTTGAATTGATAATTTGTACAAATCAGGAAAATATGTATTTAATTAGGTTGAGCCATCTGAATTTGCTGATATTCGACTCTTATGTAAAAACAGGAGTCGCAATTTCATATGGTTCAATAAAATAAAATTGATACCTGGCACAGTGGCTTACGCCCATAATCCCAACACTTTGGGAGGCTGAGACAGGAGGATCACTTGAGCTCAGGAGTTCAAGACCACACTGGGCAACATGGCAAAACCCTGTCTCTACAAAAATACAAATATGAGCCAGGCATGATGGCACATGCCTGTAGTTCCAGCTACTTGGAAGGCTGAGGTGGGAAGATCCCTTGAGCCCAAGAGGCAGAGGTTTCAGTGAGCTGAGATCATGCCACTGTAATCCAGTCTGGGCAACAGAATGAGACCCTGTATCAAAAATAAAAAAGAAAAATACACACACAGTTGAATGATTTTTATTCTCCTCTTTCATTTTTATCTACAATATAGTCCATTTTGATTTTATGGTCATCCATTGGCTTTGGAAGTTTGAAAAATGCTAAACAACCTACCCAGACCCATGAGGCCTCAGGGTTACCCAGGCTAGTGAAGGACTTAAGAATAAGATCTCCACCCCACAGCCAGAGAAAGAGCTTTCCTAGCCCCTGGAAGGGAAGTTCTTATGTCCTGGGGTTAGGTTGCAGACAGCAGCTGCCAGGCCTGGCAGAGCCCTGGAGATACATATATTATACACGTGCTGGAGTCCAGAACCAGCAAGGAGTTTTTATTTAGTACAGTTATCTCACTAATGACCAGTCATTCTATATACCTCTAAAAGGGAAAGCTTGTTTTGTTTTCATTTTGCAGAGATGGAGAGATAGGCTGCTTGGCTCTTTATAAAGCTTTGCTTATCTTATGCGGATTACTTAATTTTGGAGAGAAAAAGCTAACAGACACACTCTGGTGGTGGTTCCTGAAAAGAGGCAACCAGGAAGGATTTGGATACACCCTATCTTTTTTCACCTCAAGGCTTTTTTTTTGAGACGGAGTCTCACTCTGTCACCCAGGCTGGAGTGCAGTGGCGTGATCTCAGCTCACTGCAATCTCTGCCTCCTGGGTTCAAGCGATTCTCCTGCCTCAGCCTCCGAGTAGCTGGGATTACAGGTGGGCGCCACCACATCCAGCTAATTTTTTTTTTTTTTTGTATTTTTAGTAGAGACGGGGTTTCACCACGTTGGCCAGGATGGTCTTGAACTCCTGACCTCGTGATCTGCCTGTCTCAGCCTCCCAAAGTGCTGGGATTACAGGTGTGAGTCACCACGCCCAGCCGTTATTGTGTTGTTCTTGTTGTTGTATTTGAGAAAGCTTTTAGCAGATTACAAGAAATGATTCTCTTAGGGAAGAAAAATAATCACCGAGTTTCCTTTCCTAGTCTTAGTTCAATCCATAGAGTGTTGTGTTTATCCCCAAAGGGTCTTGTAGTCTTCATTGCAAACGTTTGATTCTGATCTACTCACATACAAGGAAATGGAGATTTGCCAAGACCAAAACTAGAGGGGCGGGCTTCCCATCAGGGTTTTCCTGTGGGGAGATGACAGGGGAAATCCTAATTATGACTTGTCCTCTTCCCTGAATTGCTGTTTACAGCAGTGTAGTTCCAATGTAAACAACAGGGGTTGGGGATGGTTTGTATAGGACAGGAGCCCCACCCAGAAGGCCTACCCGGGTAAGAGAGGGCCCAGAACCTAGTTGCAGCATTTGCCCAGTGACCCTACCCCAGCCTTTGTGTGTTAGGAAGCTGGAAACCCAGGCTGGTCTCCATTTCTTGCCTTTGTCACTAACCCCAAGCTGTCAGGCATTTGGACTCAGAACTGCTTTTCAGTGTTCTAAGTCCTTATTTGATTACAAATATTCAGTGAATCGAAGTCAGTCACTTTGGTCCTAATTTTTAGCCCGTTGATCCAAATTGTTGTTTGTAAGATGTGGAAAATAACCCTGACCTTACCAGGGGTCCTGAGAATGTGAATCCATTCATCAAAATGGTTCCACATCTAGAAGCATTTTGCCTACACTGTGTGGAGAAAAGTAGAATGCCACAAAGCCCAGGCATCATTCAATACAAGGCCAACTGTCTGCTGCCAGTCTGGCATAAGATCACATTGAAACTGCTAAGCAATGGTACATCCAGTTAAACAAAGTTCTTCCAAGAGAGTAAACTCAAGTCATCTTATACACATATTTGTTCTGGGTTGTGGGGGATGACAGTTCAGCAGAGTCAGATGTTCTAGAGCAGAGGTTCTCAACCCTGGCTGTAAATTGGGATCATCTGGCCAGTTTTTGGTATTAAATCAGTGCAAAGGCCCTCACCTCAGAGATTTGGATTCAATAGCTTCAGGTGGGACCTGCAATCCATGCTTTGTTTGGAACCTAAGGAATGACTGTGATGCGCAGCCAGGGTTGACAAGAGCCTTTAGTCTAGAGCTCGCAGCAGACCCTATTTGCAATCTTATTTAAAAGAACAGCCTAGCAAATGAAGGTGTTTTTAAAAATTGCTAGTCATGTGAAATGAACTGAGTATTGATCAATAATACACACTGGGCAGCTGTGAGAGAGTTTGATGCTCATCTTTGTAGAACTCAAGAACATACTCCATAAAGTACAGCTGAAAAGATCACGAAAACCTTGGAGCCTTCAAGGAGAGAGAAGGGTGACTTGGGGTATGTATGGGGAGAATTAAAAACCTGTCATCTTGGTTCCCGCTTGTGGGGAATAAAGGGAAGGTAATCTCTTAACTGAGCTGCTGACTAATCAAGCATGAAGGTTTCTGGGAAGCTGTTTTTTTTTTTAATTTCACCTAGAGTTAAATTAATAGTCCCCTCTGCAGTTAGATTTTCTTTCCCTTCACCTATCCTGATGCCTGAGTGCACATTGGATTCCTCAGAATAAGGGTGGGTCCGTTTTCTGCAGGAGCAAATTAGAAGGTTGTGGTCATTTTGCAATCACATGGTGATGATGGTGGTTTCAGTAGTGGGTAATTAAGGAGATGCACACTTTTGTATAGCCCTGACAGAAGACAAAAGCTGCCATTCCTTTTAGTACACTTTTTGAGAACTATCAGAAACCTAAACTTTCTCTCCTAGAGAAGAACATTTGGAATTTAAATAGGCCACATTTCTTCCTAGGAAACAAACATAGGAAGGGCATATGGACCGGAGCATCCAGGGTGGTCACTGGGTGATCAAACGAGTGTTGATGCCTAGAAGCCAGAAATCACACTGCAACATCAAATGTTTCATCAGGCAAACAGCAAGGAGCTCTTCAGGCTGTGTTCTCTAGACCCGAAAATGTCCTCTGTGGTTTGGCTGACAAATGGAATCTCTTTAGAAAATATGCAAAAGGGTATCTCAGCTATCCATGACGATTCTGTCTAGGACAAAGAATTAACAGTTCCTTCCAAAACAGAGGTCTGTTTCACGCCATCCCCGCATCCTGTCTCTCCCTGTCCTTGTCTGCAGTGGAAGTGAATGTCATCATACCAGAAGTTTGATGTGAACAAGTGATTTCCAAATGTAGAAACACCACCAATGTACTTAGGGGGATAAACAGTGGTAGGGTGTTAGAGCATCTCATCAGAGGAGAAAGTCACCCACTTGGAAACCTACCGTGTACCCGTCGTGAGTTATAAGAGTGTATCAGAAAGCTGATTTTACCATCTGTTGTGAAAGGTTATCTGCAATGAGGGCTGCTGGGACGTCAGCCTGCTGATCTCACAAGTATACTACTTCTTATTCCACTTCAGAAGTGGGGAACTTGACAAGTTTCTTGTCTGCCTTTTGATGTTGATTCTATAGATTAATTAGTTCAGGAACAAGTCTTTCATATACATTAGACTGGTATCACTGAGTTCTGATCTCTTCTGTTGTTCTTCAACTGACAATCTGGCTTGCCAGTGTCAGCTGCTACATTCTGATACAGGAAGTTGAAGGAATCTAGTGGCCAAGAGTCGTAGTTTAGAAATAACCCATCTGAATGCTGCTTTTACCACTTTGATACCTGAAAAGACCATCCTTCTTTCTAAAACCTGAAAACAACATATAGAGAAATACTGTAGAAACCAATTGTTAGTGTCTAACTAGGAAAAGCAAGTCGACTGACTCATTGACAATCCTTTCAAAACAAGACCTAGAGATAAACCATTTTTCCAGTTTCAATTTCATAGACATTTAAAAAAAAAAACTAAGAAGCATATCTTGTCACCCAGTGCTAGCAAAAATTGTAAAAGCAAAACCAAAGTTTTTGATGTTAGTTTTATTTTTGTGAGCAGGGTATACTATAGTTGTGGCCCCTATGGAACACACAGGCAGCCAGTTTTCTGCTACCTGAGCCTTGGAGAAGATGAGAAGGAAGGGCTGCCTGCTGTACTGCCCTTTGGAAAGGTCCAAAGCAGACATGAGAGTACACAGCAGAAGTCACTTTCTCCTTCTGATGACCACCTTTTAAAAGGCTTAACAGAATCACCAAATGTCATGGTCACCTCTTGGCCAGTGGAAAATTGTCTGGGCCTATATATGTTGGAGGAACTCAGATAGAAAAGGACTTGTAAACAGCATGAAAACCTCAACATCTGTTGTCTCAAGCACTTTTTTAAAAGGCCACAATTCAGGTGTTACTGGATGACTTAACTGCATGGACATTGGGGGCTGACTTGTGTTGTGATTATTCCAATTGTGGGCTTTGGAGAAGCAGAGGGATGATTTTCAGTTATGTGGGTGTTAAGTCTACGGATTGGGAATTTACCATTGAAATCGATCATTCAAAATGTGACTTCATAGTAGGGCCAGCTCCTCCTTAGTTGTCCTTTTGTTTTGTACATAAAATACATCTGGTACTTCTTACTTGGAAAGTTGTACTATATCCATGAAAATGGTTAAATGAGAAGCCCATCAAGACTCATCTAATAGCTGAAATGCAATTTTTAAAATAGAATAGGATGAATTTAACATGAAACGATGTGACCTTCTAGGGAACTTTTTCTAGAGAGCTTACATATTGTAATTGGGGAGAATTTTGTCTTCTATTTCCATTCAACAGTAGCAAACTGGTAGTTTTATAAAATTAACATTATAGTATGTTATATAAATAAACATTATATAAAATGACATTAAAGTATGTTATAACTGTGAAAAATTGAAGACTTGGAGGTATCCACAACCTTTATGTGCAATAAGGAAAACTGCAGTAGGCCCCCAAAGTGCTGTCTTTCCCTAGCATTTTACTCATTGTTTGCCTTTGTGTGTATGTTTAGATTGCTATTGTAAAGCTAGCCATGTGTGTTCCTGCCCTTTACTGATATTTAACACATTTTCTGAAAGCTTTTGTTTTTTTACAAAAGTCAAAATAAAACAACTAATTGGCTGAGCTAATCTTGTTTTGTTTTTTAAAGTATCATCTGTTGGTAGAGGGCTGTAGTGTGATCCTATTCTTAGTCTGTTTCTCTCACTGAGTGGTTCTTTTCTGGAATAAGCTATTTCTCTCCAGCTTTTTTTAGGCCTGGGGTTGGCAAACTACAGCTGGCCTCTGAACCAAATCCAGCCCACTGCCTTCTTTTGTAAATAAAGTTTTATTGGCTTGACTAGGCTCATTCATTTGCTTACTATTCGTGGCTGCTTTCCTGCTACAATGACAGAGCTGAGGAGTTGCAACAGAGATCGTATGGCCCATAAAAACTAAACTATTTACTATCTGGGCCTTAACAGAAAAAATTTCTGCCAGCCTCTGATTTAGATGCTTAAAGAAATTGTTTTAAAATAGGGCTGTGCGCAGTGGCTCGCACCTGCTATCCCAGCACTTTGGGAGACTGAGGTGGGTGGATCACCTGAGGTCAAGAGTTCAGGACCAGCGTGGTGGCATGCACCTGTAGTCCCAGCTACTTGGGAGGCTGAGGCAGGAGAATCACTTGAACCGAGAAGTGGAGGTTGCAGTGAGCCAAGATCATATCACTGCACTCTAGCCTGGGTGACAGAGCGAGACTCCATCTCAAAAAGTAATTTTAAATAGGATGTGAAAATCACAGCAACAGATTTTTGAGACTTTCTAAAATGTGCATTAGGATTAAAAGAAATACTTTAAATCTAGCCTCTGCCTGTGACTCCTCCTTGCCTGCAACCATCTTTAACAGGCTTTGAATGTCAAACCCTGAAAAAGACATCACCAAGTGTTGGCAACATCAACTAGTAAGAATGAAGCAAGTGGATTGTACATTGCAGCTTAATGCTTAGGTTCTTACTAAATAATTGCTGAAATTCTTGCACCCAAGATAGTTTCTGCCACAGTCTTCATATTCCTTTGTATGTACACCAACTTTTACCCAAAACATGCAATTGAACTGCATCATAAAATCTGCTTCCAAACAAAACAAATCCTGTCATTAACATGACTCCAGAGTCATTTAATAGTATAATTAAAAAAGACCAGATGATAGAACAATTTAAAAGTAAAAATTTGTTTCAGTTTCATTAGCGTTCTCCCAGGGAGAAAAATTACTTTTCAAATATCAGTTCTGGGTAGAGGGAAAGGGAGCTATCTGAAGGACAGCCAGATTAGTCAGGTTAAAAACAATACCACCCAGACCTATTATTTAATATTAAGTAATTTAATCAAGACAAACAGGACTGCACTTGGCCCTTATTCACATTGATGTTTTTGTCCAGACCCCTGCTGATGTGAAATGGTACCAAATCACATCTCTTCTTTGTTGTGGGGGTGCCTGGTTGAAATGGCTCCAGCAGTGGCAGGTTCAACCTGGGAACTAAAGCTCTTCCTATTTTACAGCCATAAATATCCACATCGCACTGTCACTTCCTTACTGGAAACTTCATCTCAACCAATGCATCTGTCATTATTGAACAGCTCACAATATTCCTGCTCAGCAGAATTGCACAGCAGTTGGTAGCAAGTCAAGCCCCAGACTGACAGTGTGACAGATTGCCTCCACAGTGCTGCTTCTCCAGTGCTGGGGCAGCATGCCGAGTGCCCCGGTTCATGGTGACTGACCTGGAAGGGAAGGAACAAAGGACGTTTGAACTTCAGAACACAGAAATCCCCAGAAAGAAAGTCTGTTGAACCCTGATGACACAAGGCCTTTTAAATCAGAAACCTATAATCTTCCAACCCATACTGAATCAGTATCAATCACTTCTGGTTTGTGAAACAGACCAGGAGAAAATGACCCAAGAGGTGTTGGGTGAGGGTGAAGATGGGAAAACTATGGGGGCGCCTCTGTAAGCATGGCTGTGCTTTCTGCAGCTGCTGTTGTGCAGCGCCTGCTGAGGAGAACAGGGCTTTCTGGGACCTTTTGGGTAGCGTGTGGGAGGAGCTAGGATTGAAGCCGTACCTTTAGGGACCAACCATGTACCCGTCCATTCTTCACACATGTACCAGTTCATATGTGCAAAATGCCAACAGCAACTGGCAATTCTGTAAAACCGAGGCTGAAGATAAGCAATGAGTCCACCTTCCTACCTTTGTGGCACCTGAACTTTTTTCTTCTATCATTTAAACACACTGCTTATGTCACTCTGTGAGCAGTGGAAAGTGGGCTGACTCTAGTGTGTCTGCACTAGTCCTATCACCAGTTTCTTGCTCTCCTGTGACCCTTCCTCTGATCCTGGATGTGTACCAAATTTGACATTTTCTAATGGAGTGAGACCGTTCATCAGCTTAATAGAACTACTGCTATAAAGTTTGGGAAAGGCAGTTTCAGGATGATTTAAAATATGCAATAAAGATTCACACTAAGGAAAAGTGAATTTCACAAATGCTTTGAGGCCTTTCTATACATTTTTTTTTTTTTTGAGATGGAGTCCTACTCTGTTGTCCAGACTGGAGTGCAGTGGCGCCATCTCAACTCACTGCAACCTCCACCTCCTGGGTTCAAGTAATTCTCTTGCCTCAACCTGCCGAGCAGCTAATACAGGTATGCACCACCACACCTGACTAATTTTTTGTATTTTTACTAGAGACAGGGTTTCAGCATGTTGACCTGGCTGGTCTTGAACTCCTGACCTCAAGTGATCCACCCATCTTGGCCTCCCAAAGTGCTGGGATTACTGGTGTGAGCCACTGTGCCCAGCCCCTTTCTATAAATCTTTAGTACGTTGCTAGTACACGTGTTTCATGAAAGGGCTGTATATGCAGAGTGACCCTCAAATGCAGACGGGCTGACAAACCAAAGAAGGAGGCAGGTAAGTCTAGCTTATTGTCACAGGGTGATTTTATTGGGGAATGTATGGACAGAAAAGTATGGTCTTGAGCAGCTGCAAGGCAGGTAGATTTCCATGCCATTACTCCTCGTCCCCAGACCCAGGGAGTATATACCATAGGAAAACACATGCTTCAGAGGGAATGAGTACAAGTTTGATCTAAGGGCAGGAATTACAGTAAGGATGTGCTCTTACACAAGGAACAACAGATGAACTGGAACTCTCAGAGGCATTCCTGGAACCAGGTTAATCACAAGTCAACATGGTGGACTGGCATCCAAGATGGAGTTACTTTAGCCTCCAGAACAGGTTATTTACATAAAGAAAGAGCCACCATGTCAAATTTCAGCATAATTTACTTTAATAAAAAACAATTTCCAGATGGGTCAATTTTTTTTTTAATAGATGGAGGTCTAGCTCTGTCACCCAGGCTGGAGTGTAGTGACGCGATCTTGGCTCACTGCAATCTGCACCTCCCAGGTTCAAGTGATTCTCCTGCCTCAGCCTCCCTAGTAGCTGGGATTACAGGCGTGTGCCACCACGCCCAGCTAATTTTTGTATTTTTAGTAGAGACAGGGTTTCACCATGTTGGCCAGGATGGTATCGAACTCCTGACCACAGGTGACCCACCTGCCTTGGCCTCCCAAAGTGCTGGATTATAGACATGAACCACTGCACCCGGCCAGATGGGCTGACTTCCAGTTAACAAGATGGAATAAATGCACTTCTCCTTATTCTTCCCACAAAGTATAACTAAAAACTCCAAATATGATATATAAGACAAAGATTAAGAGTCTGAAGGGTAGAGAGAAGAAGGCAGACTGACTAGGAACCTTGGCAACTGAGGAATACTGTGACCCTGAGTTTTCTTTTTGCCACATCTATATCCCGAATGTTGTGTGCTAAAGAAGCCAGCAACCCAGAAATGCCAATTTTGATAGACACACAAAAAGCCCTGAAAAAAACCTGTTACCTCTCTCTAGTCAAAGGACAGGGAAAGGTTCACTCTGAAAAGACAGAAACCAGGGCCGGGTGTGGTAGGTCACCTGTAATCCCAGCATTTTGGGAGGCCAAGGCAGGTGGATCACAAGGTCAAGAGATTGAGACCATTCTGGCTAACACGGTAAAACCCGGTTTCTACTAAAAATACAAAAATTAGCCGAATGTGGTGGCAGGCACAGGTAGTCCCAGCTACTTGGGAGGCTAAGGCAGGAGAGTTGCTTGAACCCGTGAGGTGGAGGTTGCAGTGAGCCTAGATCACACCACCGAACTCCAGCATGACGACAGAGCGAGACTCTTTCAAAAAAAAAAAAAAAAGAAAAGAAAAGAAACCAAGCACCACAATTAAAAAAAAACCTCCCCTTTCCTGTGAGCAAAGACCTAGTGGGAAGCTAGGATCTCTGGCAGGAACCAGGTGATGTGCCCCTTTCTCGCCAGTGTGGTGTCAGTGGAGGCCTGCTAAAATAAGATTTAAATAAGATTTGGAGATTCATAAGATAATTCTCCAATTGTTTGGGGCAATAAAAACAGCACTTGTCAAACCAAGAACCAGGGAAATTTCAGCTTGAATGAGAAGAAACAACTGATACATACCAACACTGAGATGACAGATGTTGAAACGTTGGGAAACAGGTTTGAAGTGGCAATCATAAACACCTTCAATTAGCCATTACAAACGCACTTGAAACAGATGAAAAAACAGAAATTCTCCGCAAATAAATATAATTTTTTAAAAAGCAACCAAATAGAAATTTTACAACTGTAAAATACAGTAACAGAAATTTGAAAAACTCACTGGACGGGCTCAATAGCAGGATAGAGATGATAGAGTAAGGATTTAGTGAATCTGAAAATAGAACAATAGAAATTATCCAATCTGAACAACAGAAAATAGAGTTAAAAAAAGATAAACAGGCTGGGCGCGGTGGCTCAAGCCTGTAATCCCAGCACTTTGGGAGGCCGAGGCGGGTGGATCACAAGGTCAAGGGATCGAGACCATCCTGGTCAACATGGTGAAACCCCGTCTCTACTAAAAATACAAAAAAATTAGCTGGGCATGGTGGTGCATGCCTGTAATCCCAGCTACTCAGGAGGCTGAGGCGGGAGAATTGCCTGAACCCAGGAGGTGGAGGTTGCAGAGCCGAGATTGCGCTATTG